ACACTGCCCAGCCTCATTGACTACTTTTTTGTAAATTTATAATCATCTTGTTCAGATATCTATATTTCTAAAAAACACTGTAATATACATGTACATGTATATATATGCATATATACATGTGTGTGTATATCTATATATATATACTGGTAACTCACTTTGAATACTTTGGTAATAAGGATTGAAAACATTAATACGTTAACTCACCAAAATGGACCTACCACTTATTGAACATTTATTGTGCTAGGACCTTTACATGTGTTATCTTGCTTTTATTTTCCAATAATTCTGCTGGATACGTATTGTACTTGCCCAGCAGGTTCTTCTTTCTTGCTTCACAGATAAAACCAATGCACTGAGACAGTGGTATTGCAATAGAGAAAGAGTTTGATAGAGAAAGAGTTCAATAGAGAAAGAGTTTAATAACTGCAGGGCCAGCAAAGTGGAAGGATGGAAGTTTATTTCTCAAATCAGCCTTCCTGAAAACTCTGAGGCTAGGGGTTTTCAAATATAATTTGGTAGACAGGGAGCTAGGGAATGGGGCTACTTCCCTAACCCCCTGCCTACCAAATTATACTTGGTCGAGTCAGGGATGTTATCACAGGAGATCAAAGCTGTATTCTTGTGCTAAGTCATTTCCTGGGTGGGGATCCCAAGACCAGATAAGGTGGTTTCTTGGTGTGGGTTATCAGCCCAGGTGATCCCAGCTGGTCCATTAGAATGCAGGGATTAAAAAATACCTGAAGCACAAATCTTAGGGTTTACAATAGTGATGTGATCTTTAGGAGTAATTGCAGAGGCTAAAAATCTTGTGTCCTCTGTCTATATGACTCCTAAACTATAATTCTAACCTTGTGACTAATTTGTTAGTTTTAGAAAGGTTGATTCAGTTCTTGAGCAAGGACAAGGTTAGTTTTGGGAAGGGACTGTTATCATTGTTGTTTTAAAGTTAAACTATAAACTAAATTTCTCCCATAGTTAGCTTGGCCTACACTGAGGAAGCAACATGGAGTCAGGTTCAATTTTTCTCACTGTTATAATTTTTGCAAAGGCAATTTCAGTATTATTATGTCTAGTAAGTATATACAGAAACAGTAGCTTACTGATGGATGGGGAGAACTAACTCTAAGCAATAGAGTTTTAGATGAGACCTGGCTACTCATCTATAGCCAACATGTATGTTTCTTTCCACATGTATGTTTCTTTCCAGAAGTTCTTGTTGGCTGTCTCGATACAATTCATAGCACTATAAGAATGGCAAAATGCACACAGGATAGTGATAAGAAATCAGATTCATAATTTTTTTGCATACAGAGAATATGGCATAAAAATGATGCATCTATAGATATTACGTATTCAGGACTATCTCAAGGACTAGTTGACAAAAACTCAGTATAGTGGAATGTTTTTACTTAAAAGTTACATTCCTACATGGTGAAAATTAGGTTCAGGTAAAAATCTGTAGTGAGCTTGAAAGAAAGGAGTTGACTTGAAAATTTGTTATCATAATTTATAATTATTTTTATAATTATTAAATATTTAAATATTTTTAAGTGAGCCACCATTAGTACTCTTGCCAAAATAATGGGCATTAAGAGAAAATCTAAAAATATAAATTAAAAAACTCTATTTTGTTCTCATTTGCTTTAATTATACAATGAATACTTCGTTTATTGCAAAAGAGGAGCCATGATTAACAAAATTTAGATTTCTTACAAATGTAATTAATTATATGAAATACTGTGACAGATTGTAAACATCAGAGAAAAAACATATAGAAATATAAGATTCCACAAACGTTACTTATGTATGCAAAAATAAATATAATGCAAAAGCCTACTTTGAGATGAATGTTTTACGTGAATTGGACAGGTTCTGGAATCATAAAATGAATCTGGCCATGAGAACGCTACGGAAAGCTTAATTGTGCAAGAGCCTCATCTGCTCCTCTGAAATCCACCATTGCATTTACCTTGAGTCTGTGCTTCCCAAAGGTTGTTCCAGGCAGTGACTGAATTGGCAAGGACTCTATGACAGTCCTCATTCCTAGGAGACAGGAGAGTCCTCTCAAAGCTGACTTGGCATAAATATACTTGTGGCCTTTTAAAATCTTCCTCAGACTTTATGGTAGTCATGGATGCTGCTCCCCTACCTCCCCTTAACATCCCTTTTACTTAGAGCCAGACTTGTTCACTATCTGATGGCTCTCCCAGTCTAATCAGCTCTCTCTCCTCTGTCTTTCACACAGGGACTTCCACCAATACAAGTGTTGAGCATTTTTAATCCCATCTTGGCATATGCTTTTGGGAGGACCTGGTCTAACAGAATTTCTTAAAGTTTAGACTAAAGTTGCCATTGTCTTTGCTATTTAATGTTTGTAGATATTTTTCCAAGAAATTTAAAAATGCATTTACTATATGGACACATGGCATAATATTTTTTATTGTCATTTCAACATGTGTGAATGTTACCAAAAGATTCTATAGGAAAAATTTCTGGAGAGTGTTATGCTCTATGGCAACTACTTCAATGGTCCTTAGCCTCATTTCTTCAGAATTAAGAGTCAGAATATTCTTTTTCAATAATTTCGATTAACTTTTCTATAAGTTTGTTTTGATTTATTTTTAACTACCAGTAATTTCCCCTGAAATAATTGCCCTCAGGAAAAAAAAATACCTGGCATAATGTCAAATGATAAAGTGGTTATCTCAAGAAATTAGTTCATTGACATTTAATCCTACATATTCCTAGGCATTTCAGAGACTAACAGTGTGTTTGTTTGCAATTGTGAGTTGCCAAGTGTGATAAGTTCTTACAATCAAAACTTACAACGTATTTTGGTTTATAAATATATACATAGATGAATCATTTAT